TACACTCAGATACATTGCTGGGAGTGTTATTGCTGTGGAGCCCTGTTATACACTCAGACACATTACTGGGAGTATTATTGCTGTAGAGCTCTGTTATACACTCAGACACATTACTGGGAGTAGTATTGCTGTGGGGATCTGTTATACTCTCAGACACATTACTGGGAGTATTATTGCTGTGGAGTTCTGTTATACACTCAGACACATTACTGGGAGTATTATTGCTGTGGAGCTCTGTTACACACTCAGACCCATACTATGAGTATTATTGCTGAGGAGCACTGTTATACACTCAGACACATTACTGGCAGTATTATTGCTGTGGAGCTCTGTTATACACTCAGACACATTACTGGGAGTATTATTGCTGGGGAGCACTGTTATACACTCAGATACATTACTGGGAGTATTATTGCTGGGGAGCACTGTTATACACTTAGATACATTACTGGGAGTATTATTGCTGTCGAGCACTGTTATACACTCAGACACGTTACTGGGAGTATTATTGCTGGGGAGCACTGTTATACACTCAGACACATTACTGGGAGTATTATTGCTGTGGAGCTCTGTTATACCCACAGACACATTACTGGGAGTATTATTGCTGGGGAGCTGTATTATACACTCAGACACATTACTGGGAGTATTATTGCTGTGGAGCACTGTTATACCCTCAGACACATTACTGGGAGTATTATTGCTGGGGAGCTGTATTATACACTCAGACACATTACTGGGAGTATTATTGCTGTGGAGCACTGTTATACACTCAGATATGTTACTGGGAGTATTATTGCTGTAGAGCTCTGTTATACACTCAGACACGTTACTGGGAGTATTATTGCTGGGGAGTTCTGTTATACACTCAGATACATTACTGGGAGTATTATTACTGTGGAGCTCTGTTATACACTCAGACACGTTACTGGGAGTATTATTTCTGTGGAGCTCTGTTATACACTCAGATACATTACTGGGAGTATTATTGCTGTAGAGCTCCTAGAAAAGAGGGAGATTAGGATAATAAAGGGGTGGGGCCTGACTGCCATGCTGCTCTGTCCCATCTAGATTGTAGCCCAGGGACCAGCAAAGCTAAGGGAATGGGCCTTGACAGAGCTAGGAGGCAGGCATATGGAGTGGTGGGTGTTTATTTGTTAGGTTCTGTGGGGGCGGGGCTTAAATTGAAATCAGATATTAATAATGGCCATTTTAAATTACGGGCCATTTTAATTATCCAGACTTATATGTTGTTGTTGGACTGGGCACAGTAGTGGACAGCCCCTGATGTCGCGGAGGAGTCCGGGTAGGCAGGAAAAAGGGGTCAGTGGGTCCTCACCAGGGCGAATTACGGAGGGGCTGACGGCTTATTGGTTAGCAAATCGGGCTGCTCCCAGGACCATGATGCCAGGTCCCCTAGCGTAAAATCCCAAGGGAGGCTGGCAGGCATGCTGAGCGCAGATCTAGGAGCAGCCGGCGTTCTCCGCACAGGTCAACAGGCAAACTGCGCTGCAGTGACAGGTGTTCCATAGGGGAGCAGTCAGGGAGAGTACAGCCATCCCCATCAGCTAATTTGCCACTGGATAGGGGGAGTGATTCCAAGTCTGATAGCGGGAGCTCCCCTGACAGGAGACACACAAGAGAGTCAGTGGTTTATGACAACCAAAAGGGCCAGGACGACAGGCAAGACACGGGTTTCTTGAGTAGGGTTACTAGTTGAGAAGGTGGGCAGGTCAGAAGCCAGATAGACGGCCTACCCATGTTTTCGTCTCCTTGCAGATCATTGGTGCGTTCTTCCACTGACCAGGTGCGGGGTCCTTGGGCGGCGGCGATAGGACTGCAGCCCCACAATCGTGCCGGTGAGGGTCGGCACGATGCTGCCTTGGCTAAACTGCTATGGTATCCCAGTGGGCAAGTCTGGCCCTGCTTACACCCCTTCATTGCAATGGTGTTCCCTAATGGCAATAGCCTCTTTCAGCAGGATAATGCACCCTGCCACACTGCAAAGAATTGTTCATGAATTATTTGAGAAAAATCACAAAGTTCAAGGTGTTGCCTTGGCATAAAATCCTCAGATCTCAATCCAATTGAGCATCTGTGGGATGAGCTGGAACAACAAATCCAATCCATGGAGGCCCCACCTCGCAACCTGCTGGAATTAAAGCTACAGTGTCACCCCATCTTAAAAAATAAGTATTTATTAAACGTGGATCCTTTATAAAATGCTAATTTTGACTGTGTTGGAACGTCACTGAAATTCCAACCCAGTCAAGAGATTTACAGAGACAAAGTAGGGACTATTTCTTCTCCACCTATCTTTCGTAGACTCAGGTCAGAGCTGCAGAGTCAATCCCTGCAGCTGTCATCAGTGAAGGCTGCAGGGAATTGGCCGTGTCTATGGAGGATCCTGCTGGTGCACATGTTCAAGAGTACAGCAATGACATTGGCGCTGAAGAGGACTCAAGACAGCAGTTCCCACGAGGGACAAGTTCAAGTAAGTAAACTCACCTTTCCTTCCTCTCCCACACCGGCCACTGGACCATCAGCAGGGTTGTATTTACTGCGAGGCTGACAAGGCATTTGGCTTGGGCGGCACTTTCTGGGGGGGGGGCGGCAAAAAAAGCCGTCCCAATCGCCCTGGCAAATGCCTTATTATTATTTTATAATTTATATAGGATCTGGCTGGCCACCTCAGGGCCCCCTGAGGCTGGCAGCGGCAGCACTTTCCAGGCAGGCAGCGAGGGAGCACTGATTTGTGTCACTCCGGCCCCGGCATCACTACCTGGCGCAAAGGAGCTGAACAGGAGGATCAGTGCTCCCTCGCCGACTGCAGTGACCAGCTGGCCACCCAGCAGCCCCACTTACCCCAGGGAAAGCAAGAATCCACCCCAGCACTCCCAAAGGTAGGGAGGCTGGGGGGATTGAATTTTAAAACAAATATGAGTGTGTTTGTGTGTGTGTTTCTGTTAGTGTGTGTGTGTGTCTCTATGTGTGTGTCTGTTAGTGAGTGCGTTACTGTGTGTGTGTCTGTTAGAGTGTGTATGCATGTCTGTTAGTGACTGTGTGTCTGTAAGTGAGTGTGTGCGTCTGTTAGTGAGTGTGTTAGTATTTGTGTGTTAGTGAGTGTGTGTGGGTGTCTGTCAGTGAGTGTGTGTATCTCTTAGTGAGAGTTTGTGGGTGTCTGTCAGTGAGTGTGTATGTATGTCTGTCAGTGAGTGTGTTTGTCAGTGAATGTGTGTCTCTGACACTGAGTGTATATGTGTCTGTCAGTGAGTGTGTATATGTATTTAGAAGGGGCCTAGGACAGCACAAAACCAGGATACACCATTGACCACCAGGTTCAGAGGTCTTATGGAGTCCATGCCTCAATGGATCAGCGCTGCTTTGACAGCACTATGGGGACCTGCACGATATTAGGCAGGTGGTTTTAATGTTGTGGCTGATGTGTTGTATACATGTTACACTGCTGTCTAGCACGGATGAAATAGAAGTTTCTCTCATATAGTGTATCTCATTTATATAAAAGATTTAGAAAATTACATCATAACCCGGGTCAGACAAGGCACAGCCAGGGCACACATTGCAGAATGGTTGGAGAAATGAAAACATTGTGTCATGTCTCCTTTTTTTGTACGCTCTCTCTATACTGACTGCCAGGTGTAAAGGGCGGAGCAAACAACAATGATTGACAGGGAGCTAAGATGGAGGTGGCTCTCTCTATACTGACTGCCAGGTGTAAAGGGCGGAGCTTATAACAATGATTGACAGGGAGCTAAGATGGAGGCGGCTCTCTTTATACTGATTGCCAGGTGTAAAGGGCGGAGCTTATAACAATGATTGACAGAGAGCTAAGATGGAGGTGGCTCTCTATACTGACTGCCAGGTGTAAAGGGCGGAGCTTATAACAATGATTGACAGGGAGCTAAGATGGAGGCGGCTCTCTCTATACTGACTGCCAGGTGTAAAGGGCGGAGCTTATAACAATGATTGACAGGGAGCTAAGATGGAGGCGGCTCTCTCTATACTGACTGCCAGGTGTAAAGGGCGGAGCTTATAACAATGATTGACAGGGAGCTAAGATGGAGGTGGCTCTCTCTATACTGACTGCCAGGTGTAAAGGGCTGGAGCTTATAACAATGATTGACAGGGAGCTAAGATGGAGGTGGCTCTCTCTATACTGACTGCCAGGTGTAAAGGGCGGAGCTTATAACAATGATTGACAGGGAGCTAAGATGGCGGTGGCTCTCTCTATACTGACTGCCAGGTGTAAAGGGCGGAGCTTATAACAATGATTGACAGGGAGCTAAGATGGAGGTGGCTCTCTCTATACTGACTGCCAGGTGTAAAGGGCGGAGCTTATAACAATGATTGACAGGGAGCTAAGATGGAGGCGGCTCTCTCTATACTGACTGCCAGGTGTAAAGGGCGGAGCTTATAACAATGACTGACAGGGAGCTAAGATGGAGACGGCTCTCTCTATACTGACTGCCAGGTGTAAAGGGCGGAGCTTATAACAATGATTGACAGGGAGCTAAGATGGAGGCGGCTCTCTCTATACTGACTGCCAGGTGTAAAGGGCGGAGCTTATAACAATGATTGACAGGGAGCTAAGATGGAGGCGGCTCTCTCTATAGTGACTGCCAGGTGTAAAGGGCGGAGCAAACAACAATGATTGACAGGGAGCTAAGATGGAGGCGGCTCTCTCTATACTGACTGCCAGGTGTAAAGGGCGGAGCAAACAACAATGATTGACAGGGAGCTAAGATGGAGGCGGCTCTCTCTATACTGACTGCCAGGTGTAAAGGGAGGAGCTTATAACAATGATTGACAGGGAGCTAAGATGGAGGCGGCTCTCTCTATACTGACTGCCAGGTGTAAAGGGAGGAGCTTATAACAATGA